CTATAATGAACATGAAGAACAGATAATCTCTTCTAGATAGTAAATTCATTTCCTTAGGATAAATACCCAGAAGTGGGGAGGGCTGGATCATATTGTAGTTCTATTTTTAATTTTTTTAATGTTTATTTTTTGAGAGAGAGAGAGAGAGAGAGAGAGAGAGAGAGACAGCAAGCACAAGCAAGGGAGGGGCAGACAGAGAGGGAGGCACAGAATCTGAAGCAGGCTCCAGGCTCTGAGCTGTCAGCACAGAGCCCAATCCAATGCAGGGCTCACACCCACAAACTGTGAGATCATGACCTGAGCTGAAGTCGGACACTCAACTGACTGAGCCACCCAGGCGCCCCAGTTCTATTTTTAATTTTTGAGGAGCCCCCATCCTGTTTTCCATAATGGCTGCACCAATTTACATTCCCACCAACAGTGCACGAGGGTTCCCTTTTCTCCACACCCTCCCCAACACTTGTTACCTCTTTTCTTTATGATAATAGACATCTTACCAGATGTGAGGTGATACCTGATTTGCATCTCCCTGATGATAAGTGATGTTGAGCATCTTTCACAGAGCTGTTGGCCATTTGTAGGTCTTCTTTGGAAAAATGTCTCTTTGGATCCTTTGCCCATTTTTAAACCAGATTATTTGGTTTTGGTTTTGCTATTAAGTGTTCCTTATATATTTTGGATATTAATCCCTTATTGGATATACAGTTTGCAAATATTTTCTTCCATTCCATAGGCTGCCTTTTCACTTTGCTTCCTTTGCTGTCCAGAAGCACGTTAGGTTTTTGTTTTTGTTTTTGTTTTTGTTTTTTGGTTGTTGTTTTTGCTTTTGTTGTCTGTGCTTTTGGTATCAGATCCAAAAAATCATTACCAAGACCAATGTCAAGGAGCTTTTTCCTCTGTTTCCTTCTAGGAGTGTTAAAGTTTCAGGTCTTACACTTGAGTCTTTAATCCATTCTGAGTTGATGTCTGAGTTGAGATAAGCATCCATTTCATTCCTTTCCTGTGGCCATCCAGTTTTCCCAACACCATTTGGTGAAGAGACTATCCTTTCCCCATTGAGTAGTTTTGGTGCTTTCCTTGAAAATTCGTTGACCATATGTGTGTGGATTTAAGATTTTCTCAATGCATTTCCTGCTGAAGAAAGAGGCGAGTGTGATTAGGTAATAAGAAGAATCATGTTTAACACTCATTTGATAGTAAAGCAAAGCCAGTAGAGTTTTTCCTGCTCTGCAGGTACTGGGCTAGGCCCCTTGTCTCTCGTGCCTTTAACAGAAGTAGTGGAGATGGAGAGGATTTCCATTTAAAGTGTAGAGGCACCACCTAGAGTGCTTCTGTGGGCTGTCCTGGGCCACTGTTGGCACGTTTCCTACTGTTTACCCAGGCTGGCTCCAAACACCTGAATGTTCTCCACGTGCAGTTACCAGACACTGCAGCCGTTTTCTGCAGCCTGTGGTTTTCTTGGTAGGGAGCTTATGACTCTCTTCCTCTCCCTCAAGACTCTTTCCCCTGAGTAGGGCTGTAGAGTGAAACCACTTTGCTGGGAAGCAAAGAGGGAAGCAGGCTTACAGCCTAGAACAGCCTCTGGGTTTTGTCTGGGCACGTGGGAAGGCAGAAAACCTCCTGAAAAAGTCCCTGACCCTTCCAAGTGTGGTGGGGACCCCAAGAAGCCTCGCAGATGCACACAAGGGTAGTCACAGCCAACCCAGACCTCCCATTTCCCCATACTTGAGCATCAGCATAATCTTGAAATCATGTCAGAATTCGAGGTGTTGGGAGGGTCTCCAAGACCGTGGCCCAACCCTCCGTGGGGAGAACCCCAGGAATGAGCTTAATTTCCTATCAGCTGGGAGGAAGAGAACCTTAAAATGAAGTCGAATTATAGATAATAATTATTGGACACTGCCTGTCCCAAATGTAGTGGCTAAATGTCCGGAGCCTCTCACGGCCAAGAGGAGTGAACTCTGTTGGCAGCCTGCACCCTGAACATACCCCAAAACATGCTACAGGGGCCCAGAGCTGAGAAGGAGAACAATGTAAGCTCAGGCTTTTCTCCATGCAAACCCAGAGCATTGCCAGAACACCAGCAGCAGATCCAGGTCTTGTGGGGCCTGGAGCTTAGAAATTCGTGGCTGTCTTGGGACGCCGGGGTGACTCAGTTGATTAAGCGTCTGACTTCAACTCAGGTCATGATCTCATGGTCCATATTTCTAGCCCCATGTTGGGCTCTATGCTGACAGCTCAGAGCCTGGAGCCTGCTTCAGATTCTGTGTCTCCCTCCTCTCTACCCCTCCCCTGCTCGTGCTCTGTCTCTCTCTGTCTCTCAAAAATGAATAGACGTTAAAAAAAAAAAAAAAGAAAGAAAGAAATTTGTGACCATCTTTAAAGGATCAAAAAGTATAAACTACCAGCTATAAAATAAATAGGTCATACAGATGTAATGTACGCATGGTGGCTACAGCTAATATTGCTGTGCCGCAAATTTGAAAGTTCCTGAGAGTAGATCTTAAAAGTTCTCATCACAAGAAAAAACAACTTGTAACTATGTATGATGATGGATGTTACCTAGACTTAGATCACTTAGTGGTGATCATTCCATACTATATACAAGTATCGAATCATTGTATTGTACTCCTGAAACTAATATAATGTTATATGTCAGTTATACCTCAAACAGTGAAAAAAAGACCACAAAATTACAAGTATAAAAATAGGAACAAAGCAAATATTTAGAGGCACCTGGGTGCCCCAGTCAGTTGAGCATCAGACTCTTCATTTTGACTCAGGTCTGATCCCAGGGTCATGGGATTGAGCCCTGCGTCGGGCTCCGTGCTGACAGCGTGGATGGGGTTCTCTCTCTCCTTCCTTCTCTGCCCCTGCCCCCTTCTCTGTCTCTCAAAATAAATAAGTAAACTTTAAAAAAAAGATTCTCTCTCCATCTGTCCCTCCCCCCACTCTAAAATAAAATTAAAAAAAAATTAAAAAGCAAATATTTCAATTAGTTATTTAGAAAAAGAAAAGAAATCCCATATTGCTAACTTAAAAAAAAAAAAGGTTTACTTATTTTGAGAGAGAGAGAGAGAACGCACGCGAGGCATGAGTAAGGGAGGGGCAGAGAGAGAGAGGAAGAGAGAGAATCCCAGGTGGACTCCATGCTGTCAGTGCAGAGACCAATTTGGGGCTCGATCTCACAAACCATGAGATCATGATCTGAGCCGAAACCAAGAGTCTGATGCTTAACCCACTGAGCCACCCAGGCGCTCTGACAGTTGTTTCTATTATCGGTGGTTGGAATGTATAAAATATGCAACTTCACAGACATTCTTGCTGTTTTTATTATTGCCACTGGTTTGTGGCCTACAAACATAAGAATTCTGGTAAATTCAAGTGTGTGTGTTGCCATCTAATTTTTTAATTTAAAAAGTATACATTTTATTAATGTAGAGAATAGTGAAAAAACAGGATTTTAATTCTTTGCATCTTTGGGACATTAAGAGCAAGTAGCAAATTACTGTCTCCCTTGGGCTTACGCGGAAGAAACAAAGTCGTGTTGGTATCTTTTAAATGTTTTTATGTGAAAAGTGTGTTTTCATGTAACTTTATATGAAAATCTTATAATTTTTCTGGCTTAAACTGCATTGATGTAGGTGGCATAAGGGAGTGTGACTCTGGCTTTTTCTTTTCTTATTTAGGTTTTTGGAAAATCCTCAGCCAGCAACCACTTGGTTTTAAAAGCTTTTGATCAAAAAATCAAATCGTATTGTCAGAGAAATTAGCCATTTGTCATTTTTTAAAAAAAAATTTTTAATTTTTTTTTTTTTTTTTTGAAGGAGAGAGAGACAGAGCATGAGCAGGGGAGGAGCAGAGAGAGAGGGAGACACAGAATTCGAAGCAGACTCCAGGCCCTGAGCTGTCAGCACAGAGCCCCATGCGGGGCTTGAACCCATGAACCGTGAGATCATGACCTGAGCCGAAGTCGGACGCTCAAGCGACAGAGCCGCCCAGGCGCCCCAGCCATTTGTCATTTTTAAGATGAATGACTTGAGTGACAGGAGATTCTTTCGGAAACTCACAGGGGGGCCAAAGTGAGACCTCAGCATCAGGTAAGTGCTCGCCTGCCTGCTGTGGGTACTGACTGGGCTACCCACATCGGCTGGCCGGTCTGGCTTCTTTTTCTTTTCCTTCTCACTCTGGGTTCTGTGTTCTTATCCTACAGGAGGTTTCTTCTTGGGGGATATTCATGCTCTTGCTCTATTCTGCCAAAAGGAGATCTAAACAAGAGACGTTGGATACTCCTGAGGTTGGATGATGAATGTATAATGACTAAGACGTGGAGGCTAGAACACAGGCCTGTAGCAAGACTCTTGTTTTGATATCCCATTCACGCAGATTAGTGAGTGCTGTGTGTTTTTAAATTGCGAGCACGTGTCTTGGTTGAACTTGGGTTGAATGTGATGTTTCACCAAACATCCTACTCTCGGGGAGCCTGGCTGGCTCAGTCGGTACAGCATATGAGTCTTGATCTTGGGGTCATGAGTTTAAGGCCCATGTTGGGTGTAGAGCGTGCTTAAAAAATATATACCCTATTCCCAAGTTCTTTTCTAAGGTATGGCATGTTTATAATGAAAATGCTATGTTATCTAGCATATTCCTAACAGAATACTAACCAGGCATTGTTGAAAACTGAATCCTCCATTTAAAATTGTACATGCCAGGGATGCATGTGGGTGGCTGAGTCGGGTAAGCATCCAACTCTTGACTTTCACTCTGGTCGTGATCTCACGGTCGTGAGAGTGAGCCCCATGTTGGCTTCTACGGTGGGCATAGAGCCTGCTTGCGGTTCTCTCTCTTCCTCTCCCTCTGCCTCTCCCCCACTCACAGGTACTCTCTCTCTCTCTCTGTCTCCCTCTCTCTCTCTCTCTCAAAAAAAAAAAAAAAAAATATATATATATATGCCTGAAGTTTAGAAGAAACTTCCTGCACACTAGCTGCTGACACCTTACTTTTGAAACTTGGTTTCTCCTCTGTGACTCATATCCTTCCAGTGCCCGCCATCAGAGAACATGCTCACATCACCACGGGACACCTGGTCCTGTACTTCCGTGTCAGGATGCTGGGCGAAGCAGTGGCTAGCCATAGAAGTATCTCCAGCAGCTATTCCTAAACCTGAACGCTGGCAAGAACTGAACTGCACACAGAAGAGACTGCAATCACACAAATGTATCCCACTACACCAAACGAAGCGTATTCCAGCTTAACTTCACCTACTGAGTCCCCGAAATGCCGGCATCCACGCCTTATGGGAGGGGAAGGTGGCGTGGAGTGACACAGTGATCTTAACCATTTGTGGTGAAGTCCTCTTACTTTTGCAAATTCCACAAAAACACCCGACCCTGTGAAATCACTGTCAAAGGCTTCATCCATTGGAAAGAGCCAATGCACCTGATAGGGCCTGAAGCTTAAGCTTTCTTACCATCACCGTAAATCTGCTTCTCAGAACAGGAAAGGGACTCAAAGGCTAATGCTGTCCAAAGGTTAATTCTTGTGTAGATGGAGCCACCACTCCTTAATCCAGCGGGGTGCGATGGTTACACGTTTAGTCATCTGAACGCAGAACAAGCTGACTCTGGAAAGTCACTTCTGTACTAACAGTTATTTACCGTGCGCCCCCTTGCCTAGGCACCGTGCCGAGCCAGAGAGAGTGGATCCCGGCTCCTGAAGGCGTCGTTGTTGGTAAAGTGGGTCTCTGTACCCTGCGTCATGCACCACATGTGAGAAATGAACAGTTTAATGGCACACTAACGGAGGCAGAAGTTCCTTCAGATTAGAGGGAGCGGTAGGGACAGGGAGGCAGAATGGTGGGGGAAGGTAGGAGGCAGTGATGCCCAAGCAGAGGTTAAGAATAAGGAGGGGCGGGGCGCCTGGGTGACTCAGCGCCTGATTCTTGGTTTCAGCTCAGGTCATGAACTCACCGTTCGTGAGTTCGAGTCCTGCGTCCGGCTCTGAGCTGACAATGTGGAACCTGCTTGGGATTCTCTCTGTCTCTCTCTGCCCCACCTCTGTCTCCCTCTCTCTCATTCTCAAAATAAATAAATAAATAAAAATTTATAATAATAAAGAAAAAAGAATAAGGGGGGTTTAAGTGGAGAGGACGGATAGCAATGCCCTTCTACCTTTTCTCTGGGCTGTGATAGGTCAACTCCTGTAGTGATTTCCTAAAGCCTAAAGGCAAATGGACCAACCAGGTGAGTGAAAAGTATCTAGCGGGCAGAAGGAAGATGGAGAGTGTGTGCACAGAGGCCTCACTACAGGCAGACAAAGAAGTGATGAAATCCCCAAGCCCTCCCTTTGGAAATGTCACCAGTCTCTTTGCCCACGAAGCACCCTCTGGTGGAGATACCTTGGAATCCGAACTATAGAAATGATCCCTGAAAGTATAGTCTTTGATACCTTGTAATACAAATACACTCAGACTGAGCCTCTGGAAAAAGCCCCAGGCTTTTAACCTGCACTTCTCTAAGCTCTAGTAGCTGTGTGTTTTACTTCGAAATCTTGGAAAAGAGCTAAAGTGCTAACATAGTATGTACTTTATTACGTGTAGGCACATACAGAAATTAAACATAGGAGACGCAAAAAAAATGAAAGGAGAAAAATTTAGTATTTCCCCTCCTTACCCACTAGACCATCTCGCATACTCACGTTGCATCATTTTAGACACCTCTGAACACTGGTGTTGTCAAATTGTGCTTGCTTGATAGCAGTGGGGGGTAATGGTTAAAAATGTAGACTCAGGAGTCAGCTGGCCTGGGTACGAAGCCTGGCTGCACCACTTCCTAGCTGTGTAACAACTTTAGTAGCCTCTTTTAAAGAACATGAATGATAAAAAACCAGCTCTTGGAAAAGTTCATTACTATACTGAAAGGGCCGGCCTACGCCAGCCGACTCCATCTTGTTCTGTGTCCTTCACCTTGACCACACCTCCTCCCCTTGAGTAACCCCCCCTCACCTGCCTAACAGGACTCGACCCTTCCCCAGGACCCTTCCCCAGCCAATCGGCTGAGGCCATAGCCATTACCTCACCAACTGCCCCCAGGCCCCAATAAAACCTTTGCCCTTTTGAAACTCGCTCTCTTTCCCTGGTATCTCACCGCTGCGTTGGTGCAGGTAGGGGATTGAGCTCGAGCTAGCTCGAATAAAGGCTCTTTGCTTTTGCATCGGACTCGGCTCCCTAGTGGTCTTTGGGGATCACGAATTCTGGGCATAACAATACAACATTGAAATTAGTGCCTGGCACCCGATAAGCGCTTTGTAAATGTTACTTATTATTTTTCTCAGTGTCACTATTAAAAATACCTTTAAATCTGGGGTGACTGGCTGGCTTAGTTAGTGGTACATGTGACTCTTGATCTTGGGGTCCTAAGTTCGAGCCCCATGT